CTGCACTTCCTCAGGTGACAGTGGTCCCCAGAACCAGCTGTGGCCCCAGCTGCACACCTCAAAGCCTGTGCTGTGTGTGGCCTGGATTGTGGTCAGCTGTGTTTCTTCCTGCTCATGCCTGGCCACGAGCCTTGGTTCCTGTGGCACTGCAGGAATGGAAGAAGATTCCCTGTGGGCATCTGCTGATCTCACCATGCCTCTGGGTGGCTGACCTTAGTGTGTAGCTTTATGTCACACCAGACTGCAGAGGGGCCAAGGCTAAAACTCTCCATCATGCATTAGACTGATTTCCAAACTTTTATGCTGTTACTTTAACAGTCCTGGAACTCTAGTGTTTGAGCAAGGCAAGCCTGCTGCCTTGACATGTGTAACTGGTATATATGAAACTTGGCTCTCGACTTCCAGGAGAACATGGTGGACAGATAGCAGCAGCTATGGAGGCTCTCTGAAAGAACCAGCTTGGAATTCAGGAATGGTGCGGAGTAAGGAGTTGTGAGCAGGTGGAGATATGCCCTGCTGACCCAAGAACGAACTGGGCTGAGAGAAACCAACTTGGAGTGCAATCCTGGTGCTATAACAGGAACAGAAAGGCCTCAGTGTGGAAGCTGGAGCCCGCAGCATTGGAAGCCGCGATTTGGGTTTCCCGCCAAGCAGCGGCTGCATCTACATCGGCTGGGCAGGGAGAGAGACGCGCGGAAGCTCTGAGAACTGGAATCAGCGAACGGAGTTGAGAGCCGGATGCGCGGGGAGCCGTGCATCCATCTCCGGTGAGTGAGGGAAAACTTGGTCTCTTCCCCACGGGCTAGGAGACTCCAACAGAGGACATTCTGGGACTGGGCAGACTTGCGGGAGCAGAGCGCTGCGGCGACTTCAGCCACGTATCCCCCTCTCAAGCGGGATCGGTGAGAAGTGCCTAGCCTACATGATGCTGCTGGCTGAAACCCAGTGGGCTAGCACAACCCAGATCCCAGAGCTTGAGGGTGACCTGGAGGGGTGGGCACCGCATAGGCTGCCTGACCTGCAACTTCCTGGTGTGCTGCGGTGGGCGGAAACACCTAGCCGGCGCAATTCAATCAGACTGTGGCTGACAGGGAAGGAAGCTGGGCCTCCTATATACGCTTGCATATATAAGGAACAAAGAATATGGGAAGAGGGAGCAACAAGAAAGGCCCTTCGGCCCCCAATCCTGAGAAACAGGCAATAGTGGACACTGCACCAATAGACATAAAGCGCCATCTAGAGAGCTTCGTAGATCAGTTCAGGAATGAAGTTATTAATGACCTGAAGCTAGAAATAAGCAGAATAGTTAGAGAAATGCTAAGCACCACCCAAGAAAAAACAGATGGTGGAATGGAAGATCAGAAAAAGAGGGGAGAATTGTTTGATGGAGAAAATAGAGAAAGCATAGAATACGTGAAGCAGGTTCAAAGAGACTACCAGGAAACTAAAAAGTCTATCGAAAACTGGCATAACAGCTTGAAAGAAACTAAGGACAGACTATCTGAACTGGAGGGCAGATTTGTAATATGGGAGAATGAAATGAAAAACTTCTTAAAAGTAACAAAGAAACAAACAGCAATAATACAAAGACTAGAAGATGATAAGAGGATCCATAACTTAAGAATATAAAAGAAGAAGTAGGGACACAAACAAATGAACTACAAAAGCTACTCATAGAAATAATCCAGGAGAATTTTCCTAATTTAGCAAAAGGTAAAGATACTCAGTTGTATGAAGCATACAGGACCCCAGCCACCTACAACCCAAACAGAGCAACACCCAGGCATATAATAATTAAAATTCCAGAAATTCAATACAAGAACAGAATATTAAAATCTGTCAGAGACAAGAAACAGACCACTTACAAGGGAACACCCATCAGAAATACAGCAGACTTCTCGGCACAAACAATCAAATCACGAAGAGCGTGGGGGGAAATAATTCAAGCTTTGAAAGATAATAATCTCCAGCCAAGATTGATATATCCTGCCCAACTATCCCTGGAAATTGATGGAAAAACAAGGTGCTTCCAGGATAAAGAGGAACTAGGGGAATATGCAACCACCAATTCAACTCTACAGAGAATACTACAGGATATTCTAAAAAAGAAAAATACAAAGAATCCAGAAATAGTGGCAGAGAGGCCATAATGCATGGAGCAGAAAACAAAATGAAGAAGACAAACTGACAACTAATGACAGAAAAAGAGCTCAACAGAAATGAGGCAGAGAAGATTGGATGATAGGAACAGCTATTTTGGAGAAAATGATGTCTTAATAGGTAATACTGATTTAGTATCATCTTGTTTTGAAGTCTCATCAAGCTTTTGCTCTTCTGTCTCCATTGGTCTAAACAGGTTGTATCTTATTGGATTTTATTATGTATGATAGTATAGGCAAAAACTTTTAAAGACAAGGAGATTATACAGAAACCATTGTTCGTTTTCTGCTGGTTGATTCTAAATACCCTGTAATGCTGTCATTCTCTTAAATGATTTTACATTGTTTTGATATATTTGATGCTACAGTATACAAAGTTATACTCAAAGATTTCAAGGAAAGAGACAATATGGTAACTACTTTTATGTTGGGATTATCTTGTGGTGAAACACTATTCTGCTTAAATGGTTATGTTTTGATCTGCACTGTTTTGTTGTTATGCCCTCTTTTATCTCAATCTCCACTTCATTATTCACTTTTTTATTTTTATCCTTTTAATTAAGGGAAAAATAAATAAAAAATAGCAGGATATATTATAGTAACCCACTTTGACTTTCAATTATCTTGATTTAAAGCCCTGTATTACTCTCACCATCTTGTTTTTGACTGATGTCCCTCTATTCTGTTTGCTTGATAGTACCAGGTTCAAAAGTTTAAGCAACAGCTGTGAAGATAGTGAGATTCATTATAACGCCCATTCTCGTTGACTATTATCTATTTTTGAAGACCTATAATGTCTCCAATGTTTTTGTTTTGTCGGTTTTGTTCTTTACTGTTTTGTTCAATTTTATTATAACTGATGATATAGGCAATTCTATTAGAGATAGTGGGAGGCATTATGGTAACCATTGTTGATCACCTTGTATTATGCTTTTACATTATCTATTATGTCCACCCTTTTGATTTGATTGACTCTGTTCTGTTATGTCACATTTGGTTCTACTCCCTTCCAAAAAAAGGAATAACTGTGGGAGCAACAAAACCCAAAATGGGTAATTGTCATTGTTCAAAAGAAAGTGCTCTAAACGATATAACTGCATGTATATATAAGTGTATAAGATAGATAATGATATCACTGAGTTTTGTTGGATCATTGAACAGAACTGTTTGCAGTCTCACTGTTGGAATGTCCACTTTACAAGCTTTAATTTTGTGACTTGAACAATTATTTCTAAGATGACAATATGTAATCCATTAACTAGTGATTTCCTACTGTTTATTTTTTTCTGTAAATCTGTATAACTTGTACCCTTTTTCTGCTTTTTTTTCTCCTTAAATAAAATTTTTAAAAAATTAAAAAAAAAAAAAGAAACTTGGCTCCCAGCTGCTTTGACCTGGACCAACCACAATGCCCTCACACTGTGGGTCACCCTTGGGCCAGCTCTGCAAGGGACGACAGTAGTGCTGGCTCAGCAGGGCACACAGGAATGAGCAGTTTCCTCTCTTCCTATTGTCTAACCCAGGTACGGCCCTGGGGATGTGGACCTTTGTTTTAGGGTGTATACGTGAGCATGGAGTCACCTGGTGGTGAATCTGTCATCACTATGGTCACCTGAGAGCACCTCTGCTCGATGGCTGTTCACCCAGGATCATGCAGAAAGCCTTGGTGCTCAAAATCTTAAGTGACTTGTCTAATCAAGAAAGAGTATTACATGAAATCACCTAATTTCAGGTTTTCTTTCAATAGTATTAACTCTGAGGGCCATCATGCTGTGCACCTAACCTCCACCAGGCTGCCGAGAAGTGGGGACCCCACCACCACACTCCACTTATGGGGCAGCGAGCCTCAGTCATGCTCATCACCTCCCCGCCCGAGGGTCTACACTCCATCCTGAGTCATCAGTCCCAACTCTGGCCAAAGTAAAATTTCTTCCAGACACACAAGGCGATAGGCAGTTCTGAGGAGAAAAACAGGGAGGGAGATGGCAGCTCCACAGCACCCCTAGCTGTCTCACTGGGCCCCGGTATCATTTGAGGTTTACTTGGAATCACCCTAAATCCATACCCAAAGTCCCCACATCTCCGGGTCCTGTAACACTTTTGAATAGTTTAATGTGGCACCAAATGTACTCAGAGTAAGACCATTTATAGATGAAGCAGCATTTAATGCTTCACACAAAGCAGTGCCTGTTTTCAGTCTTTTTTTTTTTTTTTTTTTTACCGGTACCAGGGATCAAACTCACGACCACAGGCTTGCAAGGCAGGCGCTTATGCCGCTGAGCTAAATCCCAAGCCCCTAGCAGTGCCTGTTTTCAAGATTTCAAATGTACACATCTACACAGATGTGCTTTGCTGAGCAGTTAGGTCTATTATAGACCAGAATCCGCCAAGTTGTGATTTCTCATTTTCTTTCCCTCAGAAAACATTTCTATTAGCTAAACATAGATAATCTACAAATAATGCACATATACTGACCGGTATTTTGTTATTCAATGTATATACTCCCTACAACTTGTATGAATTTTCTATTGATATCAAAATATCTACTGATATTTCATTGCAAAATGAACAGTACAACTGAAGGTGTATGTTGCTAAAACTTGCAATACTGTCCTCACTAAATCTCATGTTGTCAAAACAAGGTGGTCTAAGACTTGCTTCTTTAAAATAGAGACGTGTTGGGTCCAGCAGACCACTGCTGGTTCTCCCTGACCCACCTCTGAGGTCTAAGGCACCTCCTGAGACGCCAGCCAGAGCTGTGGAGGTTTGAGAAAAGTGAACCCAAAGTCAGAGAAGACATGGCTGGAAGCAAATGGGGAAAACAAGTAACAAATGGCACAAAGTGTTTAATTTCCTGTCATTTACATGCTGTATATTTACAGGGGGCAAGTGCTTTTTAAATAGTTCATAACACTAAGATCAAACTTTACACATCTCTGAACAACACAAACTGTCTAAACCATACAGATTATTCAGATAGAAACAGTTTCATTCTGTATTAAATACAGTTTTCCCTACTCCATGTCCTGATGCAGGACCAGTAAAGTTTGAGTGTGATAGCATATCCATATTAAAAATAAAATCACAGCATGATATTGTCTATTACTAGAAACTTTAAGGGACTCAAGCTGACAACTCAGACTCTAATATCACACAAGTGACGAGACAGTATAAAAGTTTTACATAATAAAAACACTGTGAGCTTTACAAGTCTTTGGACTAAACATTCATTATGTGAATACTCATCATAAGTAGGAAAAGTCCCACAAAGTTAATAAACAGAACTTGTCTATAAAACACATTTTCAAATCTGGAACACAACTAAAATAGGAAGCCAATTACTGTCTACAATCAGACATCACAGAAAACAGACTGCCCTGTTGAGAGCTTACAAACTTTTAAATATGTGCACTGTCAGTTTGCATTTTTAAATAATTTCATGTATTCCCAGTTGGCCTTGCACCAGATTCTAACTTGGAAGAACATTACATGAAATACAAGTAACCAAACAGAATCTGGAATCAAGCAGCATCTAACACATTCTATTCCAGGTCATTATTTTCAATGTGATTTATATACACTATATCTTACAATAGTCAGCAATTCTAGAAAGTATTTATTCTTTTGGAATAAGAGTGATTAAGACAAGGTTAAAACTAAAAAAATAACACCAACAAAAACCAAACTAAACAAACAAACAAAAAAAGCAAGGTAAAACCTGCATGGTACTTAGCAAGGAAGTACCATGCAGACTTGCACAAATTTTTCTTTAACATTTAGGCTGAGGTGGCATGACCTCTTTGGAGCATGTTGAATCTGAAAGAGGAGGCACAAGCATTAGTTGAAGGCAGAGACCCCAGGAAGCCAGGCCCCCCTTTCTGTCTCACCCTGTCCGCAGGTACCCTTGGTCTTTGGGAAGCTCTTTTCCCTTGAAGCCATCACTGCCTTCCTGAATGGCAGTAGAGAAACCCAGGGATGCCAGGCAGCTGCAGAGGAACCGCTGGTGGCCCTGCCAGGGAAGCGCCATCTGCTGGGCCCTGCTGTACCCGCCCAGCCTGAACCCCAACTGTGGCTAAGCCTTCCCAATCCTCAGGAAGAGCTTAGTTCCTCAGAGTTAGTGCTTTCCCTTGAGGACACACAGATAAAGCATGTTAATTACTGCATACTGGTCTTCTATAGATAATTTGCCTTGAAGTTCATTTGAAATCACCCTCGCGATTGGGTATGAGACACAAAACAGTTTGCTTTCGTGGCTTAAATGGTTCACCACTCCCTTTACCTCCACAAGTGCACAGCATGAAACACAAGTCCCCACCTTCCAGGACCACAGAATACAAGTGATTCAGACACAGCCTGGACACCATGAAGGCTCTGCTCTAAGACACTCGGACCTCATCCCAACAGAGCGGCCGTGTCAGGTGAGGGCTGTGACCCAGCCCCAGCGTGACCTCTAGGCCTAGGCCCTGAGCTCCTGGGATGGGCTCTGCTGCCTGGGTAGGGGACACACATGAGCTTCTCATCCCAGATGCTTATCCAATGACTGCTGATTCAGATGGGGGGCGCTGCTGGCTTCTTCCAGTGAGGGAGGCAAGAGGAACCAGCCCTGCACTTCCCTTGCTGAGGCTGCCCCAGTCTCCGCGCTCTCCAGTGCTGGCTTGGAGTTCAGTGCCCCCCACTCCTGCTGCTCTTTCCACAGCTCAACACCAGGGAATTAGGTTTTCCTCAGGATTTCAATGCCTTCTCTGTCCCTGCTTAGTGCTCCTACAAAGAAGCAAAGGGACAGACAGGAAAAGTGCTTACCTTAACTTGTGAATTTTTTGTTTTGTTTAGAAGGCAATACTTAAGAACACTTTTAATGACTTTGTATGATTTGTGATGTCTGTGCTCTGAGTATGCATTACGTGGTTACAATGAGACAGTTTTCTTATAACTTAACACTGGCTGCCTGAGATCAGCCCCACATCAGGCTGAGCAAGTGCAGGCTGGCACTGCCCCTCCTGCAAGGTCCTCCTAAGAGGAAAGCACATTCCCATGATGATGAGGGCCTCTGGTCCCAAGGAAGATGCCCCAGAGGCTGGGGCTAGGGGACAGGCCACACCCGCCTCATCACACTGCTGAGTTCTCACAGGAGGTCAGAAGGGACTTCAGGCCAGGGCCAAAGAGATTTACCGGATTTGAATGGAGTCAGAGGTCAGGGGTTTGCAGGAGAAAGGTGAGTGGTCAAAGGTCAGGACACAGGAGCACAAGTGCACAGAAGATGGCAGAGTGCTGGCCTCAGCCAGGCCCCCTCTCAGGAGGCCCGGAGTCCAAGGGCCCTTGGTCTGTGCTCCTGGCAGAAGTGCTGGCTGCAAACCAGTCATCAGTGGTCCTGCACTGGGGGCAGAATGGGCCACCACTCACACACGAAGTGACTGTAGCACCTACAGTGGCTGAGTGGACTCAGCCCTGAATGCCATGCCAACACTATGGAGGCTGCTGTCCCCAGATGGGTGGGCTCTAGCTTGACCTGCCCTGCCAGGATGAGGGATTCTGACAATGCTGGGACCCTGCCCAACACACAGACCAGATCTGTGTCACTACCCAATCCTCAGGTAGCACACAGAGGTCAGAAACACCCATCCCCTCTGCAAATCGCTGAAATGTTAATGTGAAACCACTCTGCGCATGTAAATAATTTCTAAGGGTGAAGAGCAAATGCCTCCCTCCAGTCCTGGCAGCAGCACTGAGTCTGCTGTGCTCCCTGTGGTGGCCTCTGCCTTCCTCGAGCCTGCTTCTCTTCACAACTGTCAGAGCTGCACACAGATCCCGGTCTGCAGAAGGCAGGAGCCTGGCCCTGCCTGGGCCTCCCCAAGAGAACACATTTCAACCACTGAGGACCCAAAAGGCCTCGGGGCAACCGAGGTGATGTGTCACAATCCCTGCAATGATATGCATGGCCTTTACTCAAGAAAGTGACTCTCAGTGTCTAGGGCAGGGCCTGGCTAAGTTTCTTCCCTGTGAAGGGCCAGGTGACACACACTGAGTGTGGTGGGCTGTGAGGTCTCAGCGGTGACTACTTACCTCTCTCAGAAGCACCAACCTCACACAGACCACTGCATGCTTCAGCCAAAGTCTACAGACACTGACATTTGGATTTCACACATCGTTCAGGGGAAGCAAAGTGCTGCTGCTCTTTGGAAGTTTTGAAAACACGAAAGCCATTCTTACCTCACAGGTGATGAGCGATAGGCACAGGGCCGGCTTTGGCCTTCGAGACGCAGCTTGTCAACCTGTGCCCCGGCCCCAACTCCCATCACTTTCACTCTTAACAAGCTTCTCAGGGCTCCTCCTCAGGGAACCAGTCACAAAGGGGGAGGGGCTGCCCCACTGCAATCAGAGCACAAAGAGCAGTCTACACACAAGAATCCGAGATGCCCGGGAGCCCAGAGTGGGATAGCAGGCCAGGAGCCTCAAAGGCACCCCTGGCAGAGGAGACCACTACGATTTCTAATGGCCCAGATCATCAAATTATGAGCTAGGATACACTCTGGATGCTTTAAGGAATCAGGAGAGTAAAGCAAACGCTGCAAAAGCATCGCTTTCAAAAATGCATGAAAAACACAAAAAAGTTCTATCTTGGGAGCACATACACAGACACCCAGAGTGCCTAAATTCCAGGGTCATAAATTCCACTTCCACGTAACCATCCTTTGGTGCTAGGGATCAGTGTCAGGCACCCAAACTACACAGAGACAATGAGTGGCTCAGAGCCTGGGAGTCAAGGTGGACAAGGCAGGAGCCCTGTATCACTCACGCACCCTTTCAGGCCACCTCAGTTACTGTCTCTGTGTGTCAGTCACCACTTCAAAACCTTGTCAGAGTTTTTCTCTTCTGAGGAGTTCCAAGAATCTCCTCTTACCCTGGTTACATGCCAATACATGGCTCTTCTTTGGGAAAGATCCAGTATCCTCCACAGTCAGGCCATCAGTGAGCAGGTAGTTGCTCTTGGGTCTCTCAAACTAGCTGATGTTCCTGTAGCTGGAGGCCTTCAGCAGGTGCAGTCCTGGTTCTTTTTCAGAGTATTCTGCTTTCCCCAGGTGCCTCTTCTTTTTCTTTTTCTTCTTTTTGTGTCTGTAGAGGTCAGCTTTGGAGTATGCATCTAGAATATCTGAATCCAGCCGATGCCTGCAGAAGCAGCAGTCAGAAATTAGCAACCCAAACACCAGCACCACCTCAGACAGCACCTGGCACTGTCATGACCACATACTGAGGACACTCAATGTTCGGGCTCAGGTAAAAGCTTATCTAGTTAAAAATGTGTTCTCTACTTTCCCCCGTAGTGATTTTTAAAGCCAGGGTCAGAAATTCAGCAACTGAGCTCCACTCCTGGCACCTACCCTTCCGTGGTGCTGGGGCTGTCAGCCGGGACATGACCTGCAGGACTTAAGTGACATCTCCTGGAATCAGTGGCCAAAAGAAGGAAGGAAGGACATTCTGCAATGTGCCTCAGCCATAGAGGAGGGAGAGGCTTGTGAGCTGATTCCTTTTCCTAACCATTGCCTATTTACATATGGCTGTTGGCAACCTTTTGCTAGGATTAATTTTAAAAGAAGTCAACTAGAATACATGGGATTTCATTCAGGCTCACTCATCTTGCTTTGAACCAGTCACTTTAAGGCAGTTGCTGGGGTTGGGCGTGTGGCTCACTGGTCAGAGCACTTGCCTCGTGAGCACAAGGCTGTGGATTTCATCCCCAGCACCACATACAACACACACCACACACCACACACACACACACACACACACCACACACCACACACACACACACACACACACCACACACCACACATCAACTACCTTTTTTGCATTTTAAAAGTACAAAGATATTTACATTTCAGATTGAGAATTAGAGATAAAGGCCAAGAAAATAATGATGCCCTCAGACCTCCACTCTAGGCAGGCAGCAAAATATCAGCAGAACTATGGCCCCCCATTTTCTGCTGACTGCGTAGTCACTAAGTTTGAAAAAAAAATAGCAGATATAAAAATGTAACTACACCTGACCACCAATCTTGAAGTGAGAATCCCCAAGTTCCCTCTACAGAGCTCACATTTACTCCTAGGAGAGGTATAAAGCATTACCTGAGAATGGCAAAGTGAGACATTTTATGACACATGAAGTAAGACAGAGCTTGAAAGCTGCACCATTTTAGAAATGTGCGGAAACTGAAGTCTCAAAACCCACAGAGGTGAAGAATTCAGACTCCGCTGGGAGAGCCCGCCCTCACCTGTGGTCACGCTCCTGGTGTTGGTCTTTAGATTTCTTCTTCTTCTTTGACCTTTTGTGCTTCTTCGCCTTAGGCTCCTCCAGGTCTTTGGGCAGGCTCCTGTGGGCTTTCTTTTCCTCATGACTGTCATTACTTTTTGTATTCTCATACCTGCATTTGCGTGACTTCATGCTTTTGTGTTCATAAAACTGATCAGACAGGCCACAGCCACTGTCGTCAGCTCCAAAGGCAGCTTCTTCCTGGGAGTAGCGCTTGGGGTGCAGAGGGAAAGGGGGTGCAGCACCTGTGCAAGGGCTGTGGAAGTGGGTCCGCTCCCTCACCGGGGCAGGAGGCTCCCAGCCCTTCCTGGCCCAGGAGGAGTCCTTATGTGGTCCCTTCACATTGGGCTTCCTGCCTGCATATGGGGTGTACCTGTCGGGGTAATACCTGCACCGGTCCCACCGCATCTTCTTGGGGTCACACTTCTCTGGGAGCCAGGAGTGCTCGCTGGCTGAGCGGTGATATCGGCTCCAGTCCTGCTCAGCCCCTCTCCTGGTTCGGGAGTGGTGGCAGCTGTACCTTCCCAGATTGTAGCGCTTGCCAGGACTGACTGACTCCCCACAGCACAGAGGGTGCCGGCTCCTGCTGCGGGGCTGCACAGCAGCGTGGCATTCCTGTTCGCTGTGCTTTCGGGTGTAGGAGCGCCGCTTTTTGTGCCAATGACACCCAGTCGACCGCTCCTTCCTTCTTCCTCTTCTGCATGTGTTCCCCACCAGAGGAGTGGTCTCTACGGTTATAGCAATGTCCTTGGTCAACTTTCTTAAGACTGCCGACTTTCCCTTTCACTGGAAGGCAATTCGGAACCTTCTGGCAGGCTTTATCTTTGTCACACCTCTCCCCATGACTGTGTCCAGGATCCCCTTCAGGATGGGCACCTGAGGTCCTATGTGGCTGAGCAGAGGGCAGTGCATCAGCAGATTCATCTGTGCCCCAGGACAGGGCCTCTGTGTCACTACACAGGTCTCCACTAAGGGAAACCGAGAGTTCAGGCTCCCATCCACCTTCTGGATGTGTGGAGGAAGCTGGGCTCAGCTGCTCCACTGTCTCTGCTGGACCAGAGTCCTGCAGGCTCTCAGGTAGCAACACTTTGTCCTCCTGGGTGGTTGCGCTGCTGTCCTGTGTTCCCTTCTCAGTGCCACAGGGTTCAGGAAGTACATCTGCCCCCGTGCTGTTTATGACACACAAAAACTCATCAGGTTTGGCTGAGCTGTTTTCTGAGGTAACCTCTTGGGTAGATGGGACGCTGTTGTGAGCGAGTAGCAAAGCCTTAAATTTCCTGCATAGACTCATCATCTTGTTCAGTTTCTTGGGGGAACCAGCAGTGGGGCTGCCAGCCTCAGGCTCCATGGCGAGGTCCCCTGATGGATTCTGCCCTGTTCCAGGTGGACTGCACCCCAGCCAAAAGAAAGAGACAAGCCAGTAGTTGGCATGACTGCTATACAGGTTTTGTCATGGCTTACATTTTCTAAATATTTTATCACTCTAAATATAGCCGGCCACAAGCCACTAACAAGCTATCATCTCTAAACACCAAAAATTTTTAATAAAAATTCTGTAGCTCTAGACTTTTCCTATTTCCAGATGCATGTTTAATCCTTAAAAATTTAAGTCTAAACAAAAAGCCGAATCACGGACTGCCGACTTTTCTGGCTCCCTTCTTCCTCTTGGAGCCTCAGAAGCACAGCAGCTATTTCCAGACAGAGCCAACAGCTCCTTGAATCGTGGAAAACAGGGACTCACTGAGGCTCTGGGGAAACCTTCTGCAGGAACTGCAGGCTGCCGTTGGCACCTGGAAAGCTTCTGACACACTCTCAAGGTTAGCTGCCAGCTGCCAGGAAACAATCAATCACCCGCCTGGATCTCGGCTCTTCAGTGAGGAGATAACTTGTCCCCAGTCCCCACGGGGAAGTTCGTTGTCCTGAGAGTAGAAGCGGGGTTCTTGGGGCCACACGCAAAGGAAGGCGTGCTTGGCTGCAGTACCTACAGGGCCTCATTTACACAAATGTGTAATTACTCTCTTGCACACTGAATTTGGGGACCAGGGTGGGTTAGGAAAGAAACCAGGGAAGACCACTGTGAAATGACAGCGCAGCCCCGCTGCTCTATCTTAAGGTCAAGTGGGAGTGAGCGTTCTCTGCCTCTTCACTCTTAACAGTTCTGCACCCTGACTCAGGGTCTCAGGGGCCATCTGGGCTGCGCAGTGCCAGGAGGAGGCTCCTCCCCTGCACGTCCTCACACCCATGGGTGAAAATGCCAGTCGTGTTATTGCCACAGTTTTCACGGACACTACACTCCCCAGGAATCCAACAACCGTGTAAACTGAGGAGTGGTCACACCGTGATACGGCTGGAACGTCACCAAAAGTCAGTCACCACCGCAGCCCGACAGCGCAGATGGCAAATCTGGAGGCAGCGTTTATGCTGAATGGTCACACGGTGAACCTGCGGGCGGGCGGCTGCCACCTGATGCAGAGTCCTGCAGCAGTGGTTTCATCTGCAGTTTGCACACGAAGCAACCACGCCTGCATTTCAAACTCCTTTCCTCTTATTCCTGAGTTACGTTACAGGTAGGTGAATATATTGATTTTTGCTAAAATTGAATATGGGGACAAATTATATTTTCTGTGAATTTAACTTCAAATTTCTAGAGAGGCCCTTACAAAATATGTGCTTCATGACAGTGCTGGGACCCCTCTTTCTCTAAACTCAGTTTGCCCTTCACATACTCATTCATCATTAAAAAGATGAAATGGGAAAGCACGTGGGTCGGATTCAGAGGTGTGCAAGGGCACTGCTGGCCAGGGCAGGCGACACAGAGGAAAACGACAAGCAGTCACAGACAGCTTTCTCACTCTCCTCAAAGGCAAATTAACATATCCTATAGGTAATTTTTCAGATAGACAGATAGATTTGGCTTGGAGAACAGGCAGTTTATTATGATTCCAATGGTGATTTTTTTGTTCCTCAGGGTGTTCTGGAATCTCGGGGGCTGTTAACTGACCAGTTTTGGACAGAAGTAGTAATATTATCAGGACCACACCTCTTGACTCTGGGACTTCCACTGGGACTTGGTGTGGAACTCCTTGCTGGGTCTTTCCGTGGCCTGGTCCCACTGGAGCGGGGTGAATTCTGCAAGGAAGAAAGCCACAGCCTGGTCAGCACTGCAGAATCAGGGTCTGCTCCGGCCCACAGCCTTCCTCTTTGCTCTTGTGACTGACAAGTTACACAAATCTTGAACACAGCCCCTCTCTTTCATCTGCTCTGCCCATGTGCACCTTTCTCAGGCCCTAATTTTCTGGTTAATCCACACACGGGACACACAGTGTCTGTCAGAACACAGCCCTCCTGACATGAGTTTAGTATTCTGTCCTCGGCTGGCTTTCCTGGGAGGCTACCACCATACAGACAAAAGTAAAGCCAGCTTTGTGGCCTTCAAGCAAGGGAGACAGCACACGGGCAGGAGGAAAGGCCGCTTCAGGACTGCATGTGAGGTCACGGCTGCTGCCGCCGCCCAGTGATGCCTCAGCATTGTACTCGTGCAGCTCTGTTGCTCCAAGTTCCATGACTACCACTGAAGCCCTGTGACAACACAGGCGACAGCTGGTTCACAGACAAATGGTGTTTGGCTTTGGCAGTGTTTTCTTAAATATCTGAATTTGCTGCTGTCTTCAAACAAACAAACAAAAACAAAAACAACTCTTAAAAAAAGTCAGTTACACCTGCCTCTTTCTTTAGGTGCATACTTTCTGGTTTTCCAGTCCCCCGTGTCACTCTGAAGCAGAGCCCCATTCAGAAGCTGGCTAGCAGACCAGCTTATAAAAGCATTTAACTGAAACAGAGCCTAATGTCTACCAAAACAAGCATTCGACGAGATAATCTGATAAACCAAACTCAAACTCCCTGCATTTTCAAATTTCTTTTTTGAAACAGGACTTCATTATGTAGGCTAGGCTGGCTGTAAACTCACTACACGAAAAACTCAAGACACTGTAAAACCTGAGAGCAGCAATGACCCCGTGTAGTTCAAGCTGCAGATGGCCTGGGCATGGGATCCTGGCAATTATGGAAGGCAGGCCCTGCCCTGAAGACTTCTTCAGACCTCTTGGGCACACAGGCACAGGGGCATGATCCCTTGGGGACAGCAGATGGAGAAACAGCACAGTCCTAAGACAGCTATGTGGACATAAAGTGTCCTGTAATAGGGTCACTTTCCTGATGTCTAACATGGGTTAAAACCTATCTACCCCTGAGTAGGGGCCTAGTCCACAGTGGGTGTCACCTTTAATACACTCACACCAGCTGTTCCTGATTACTTCTATGCTGAGATTCTCATGCATTTAAAATTTTGACACAAAGGACCTGAATGAACTTTTTGACAAGAAATCCAGGTTTAGACAGGACATGACAATCACTGGAATGTTAGCCTGAGGGTTTGAGGACAGACCCTTAGAGTGAGGTAAAATCAGAGGCCACCTCTGAGGTGTTACCTTCACCGGGTGAGGGGGAAGCTGTGGTCCAGGAAGCCCTGCTGCAGCCTGCTTGTTAGCGATGCCCCGAGGACTGGTGACCCGGTGGACAGAGGACTGACCACGGCGGTGGGTGGGATGCTTAGCAAATTCACTCCCACTTTTCACATCATTGGTCCTAGGGACAAAGAATGAGAGGGCTTAGGGTGATGGAGGGCATCTTAGTAGAGACAGATTTACAGACTCAGTCCCTCTGGAAGTCACTGATTCTAAGTCACACTGCACAGAGCCTTAGGCTGCACTAGCTGCTTTAGGGGTATAGGTCAGTGGGGGGTGCTCAGCTCAGGTCACAAGGGCAGCTGAGTAAAGGAAATGGTATTTTTAAACTCTATTTTGATGATGCTGCTATCAGGATATTTTTTTCTGCTTACATTTGTAAATTAAAAATATATACCATTGTAGAAAACTTATAATGTCCAAAAAAAATAGAAAAAAAATGTTGCCCCAATAGTTTCCCTTTGATCAGATCATCTCCCCGTTTCTACTCAACACCAGTGTTTAATATTTCAAACTGCTTTTCCTCCACATACAGTCACCACTTTCCCAAGGCATTAAAAAAGGTTTATAACAATCACTCCTAGGAGGTGATGGGCAACATAGCAAGACACTGTCTCAAAAAAGAAAAAAAAATCTTAAAAACTGCATAAAATTTCAATGCATCATTCTGCTGTTGTTGAACATTTCAGGGTATTCTGAACTTGAAGTTACTGTATTTAAAAGGGACACCTTGGAGGCTGCAGTGTGGCTCAGTGGTAGCGTCTGCCTAGCTTGCTTGTGGCTCTGGGTTTTATTCCCAGCATGAATAAAAGGGGGGCGGGGAACACCGTGGAATACACATCAGATTTTTTTTCTAACAGTGAAATTTGTGAGTCAGTTTGCAGCTGCAGCAGGATCAACCCAACTGCTGGCCCCAGCCCTGGCCAATGCCCAACCAGCACTGTGCTCAGCACTGGGGAGGTGCTGGGTGGGACCATGCAGGGTGCTCAGAGCTCCCTTCCCCAGCTCTCTGCCCATGGCCTCCACATCCCCAGGTCCACTCCATTTTCTGCCAGCAGCATAAGCCACATCACTCCCTCAGTGGTCACCTTTCCCTGTCTTCCTCTCTGACACTGAATGACAAAGAGCTGGACGCTAACGCCAGCTCACAGTCCATGCTCAGAAGCGGCCTCCTGACTCTCCACGTATGTGGCAGTGTAAACCTTAAATTCCGGTTTTCAAAAAGTAACTCAAGGGCTCAGTGGCATAAGTGCCTGCCTGCCAAGTACAAGTTTCTGAGTTCAATTCTCAGTGCCACCAAAAAAACAAAAGCAAAAAACCAAAAAAAAAAAAAAAAAAAAAATCAAAACTGAATTGAATGTGGGTGAGATGAAAAGAAATAACATTGCAGAACATTTGGTAGCTTTTTTCATGACAGTACCTTATATAAAATAGTACATAAGCTTGCTGGTTTAGCACAGATCGAGTATCCCTGGGAGATACCTTGGAGTCATTCATCTGGTACCACAGGCCATTGCTAGCCTGCAAAAGACAGCCAGTAAGAGACAAAAATCAGATTTTGTTAGTTAATAAGGACAGAATAAAAAGAATAAGCAAAAGAGGCATTCACACTTTAATTGTCAAACTCCCACCATCCCTCCCAAAGAACGCTGGTGCTTGCGGTCTTACAGAGTCTATGTAAAAGCAATGAGCAAAATCCACACAGCTTACTTTTACGTGACATAAGTAATAGCCCACGGCAGTTGTATCCCGCGTGGACCAGCACTGCATACAAAGTGTATACAATGGGTTCTCCATTTGGCTGTGACGTGAATGGCCTAATGTCGAGATATTCGGGGTATTTCACATCCTACACAGAAATGGACAGAGGAGAAATGGATGTCACTTCTAAAGGCACAGAAGGCCCCACATGTTCAGGGGAGGGGTATTTAGGGTGTCCCAGGAGACCCACACAACACAGCACAGGGATGTTCCAGCAGAAACCCAGTGCACTGAATCACATTTCAGAGGACACAGCCTGGAGGACCCCTGGTCTAAGGGTAGCTAAGGTGTCTGTCTTTATTTTCCTTAAACAAGTAAAGATCCACATTAAGTGAATTCTTCAAATCCATGAGATGCAAAAGTCACAAAATGACAACTCTGGACAGTCACCACCAATTATTTTAATTTTAAGTAATTGCTTTTGTATTTTGAGATAGAGTCTTACTATGTAGTTCAGGCCTGCCTTGAAATCACTATGTAGCCTAGGCTGACCTTGAACTTACAGCAGTCTTCCTGCCTCAGCCTCCCTAGTGCTGGGATTACAGGCATATGTCTCCATGCCAGGCCACCTCAAATAATTTAAGAATGTATTAGTTATTTCTCTTCTGTGTCACCACATTTTTAATTTGTTTCTGAAATGAGACTTCACAATGTAGGCCAGGTTGGCTTTAAACTCGCTATATGGTCCAGCGTGGCCCCAAACTCCTAATCCTCCTGCCTTAGTTTCCTGAGTGCACCATGCCCAGCTTTGCTGGTGAATTTTTGACCACTTTCAATCTTTAGTAAGTGGGAAGAAAAGAGGAAAATTCAGTGTAAGTGAAAAATCAGAAAACAGTAAACAAGAAAATAAAAGAGAGGAAAGATTTAGTGAAGAAATCCTCTTTGGGTTTCAAACTGTACAAGCTCTCTGTATCCACTCATTACCTTGGATACCAAAGAACTGACTATGAAGCCCAAACACAGAGACGCGTTCCCAATTTTATCACTAGACAGGGTACAGTAAAAACACATGTACTCACAGGCACACAGACCAAACTCTTAACTCATTCTTTGACTTCTTTTCTGCTATCCAATGCAAGAAAAGCTCAGAAAGCTCAAAATTGTTCAGATAGGTAGTTTAGTAATCCTTAACAGCTACTAGCACTTAAGTGGTCACTCCACATAAAAGGTCATTAATAACAGCATCTACATACCTTAGCAATTTTCCCACCAGTGGAATTTGAAAAATGTTTTAGAGAAAGTACAAGAACGTTAGATGACTGATGTATGGTAAAATTCTTTGAAGCCAGAACCATGATTTTGCACCTTGAAGTAAACAGAAACAAAACATTAAAAAGATTAATATGTGAATTTTTTTATGTTTTAGTGTTGCCCTTGCTATTTCTCTGAAACACCCTAATTTGATTCCAAAAAAAGGATAATAAATGAGAGACATCACCCTCTCCAAACAAACAGTAAAAATGTTTTAAAATACTGTGGTTAGCCAGGCATGGTGGCACACACCTATAATCTCAGCACTTGGGAGGCTGAGGCAGGAGGATTGCCATGAGTTTTAGGTCAGCCTGGACTACATAGTCACTACATGGTGAGTTCAAGGGCAGTCTCAACTACAGAGAGATCCTGTCTCAAAAACAAAAAAATAAACAAAACAAAATACAAAACTTGGGGAAATTGCCTAGCAGGATGACAGGAAAAAAAGCAGAAATCTGAAACAGTGGGATGCACAGGGCACTGATGATGTGAAAACCACATTAACTCATTTGAGGGCGTGGCTCAGAGGTGGGATGCTTGTCAAGTACGAGTAAAGCCCTGAGTTCAACCCCCAGCACTGCAGAAAAAAAGAATTGGTTAACTCAATTCAAAAAAATTGAAAATGAATTGATGTTTTCTGCTGGTATAATTCTGTGAAAGCAAAGCTCTGCCCAGATACAAAAGGAAAAAAAAAAAGATAAAAGTGTCAGGAAAAATCTCTAGTCTTGGTGAGAGAAGCAACATCTTCCCCCAAATACTGAATACTTGATGATAAAAATTCTTTAATATAGGTATCTGTATCACCTGACTATAAAGTGGAAATCTACTTAACACATATGAAACAGGAATTCATAAAACAGACTCCCTTGACTGCTGGGGAAATGTATCACTGAGTAATGTAGATTAAAGGCTTCCAGCCAACACTACCGCACCCCACGGTACCCACTGTGAGAAAGATCCTCAGCTCTTCTGGGGGAGGAGGGAACCCCACCGTACCTCCCTCCAGTCTTGTCTGACAGGAATCAAGGAAGATGCTGCTGAGCAGACGTTGTCGCAGCTCTGAGGCATCCAGGGTGGCAGCACTATTCCCTGGGCACAGAGCTGCCCATCCTGAGACAGTGCGGGCACCAGTTCCGGCCTCCAGGGCACAGATGGCCAGGATCTCCCAGAGGGCACCACAAGCTAAGGCCACCTAGCGGCCATTCAAACACGCCCGTTCTTTAAAACCAGGGCTCCCTGCCACCCCAACTGGAGCAGCCAAGTCAGGGACTGCAAGTCGCCCCGTCATACTTGCTACACTGGTAGCAGTTTCTCCATGCAGCTGTTCCGGCTTCACAAACTGCGCCAGCGCCTCATTGATAGTCCGAGCACCCTGGGAGGAAAAAGTCATCAAAAGCACGTCACCACGCGCTGTCGTGGTTTATGAGAGAGACGAGAGAGCAAGCAAGCAGAAGACTCGGAGAAACAAAGGACAATTTTATGAAAAAAATGATTTTATGGGTGTGTGTGGCCGAGCTCCCAGCTACTTGGGAGACTGAGGCAGGAGGACTGCAAGTTTGGGTCCAGCCTCAGCAACTTAGGTCCAATTTTCAAAAAAAAAATTTTTTTAATGGGCTGAGAATAGAGCTAAGTGGCAGTGGTCGCTGGGTTCAATCTCTAATGCCAATCCCCCCAAAATTGTCCCCCACCCCAATTAAAAACAAGCAGATTAAAGTGGACAAAAGTATGTGAGGAGGTAGCTCGTGCAGCTTTACTTAGAATACTGTAAAAGTGGAAATCAGCAAGGAGCTATGGCCACCTACTGGCCACCACCAGATTTCCAAATTTTGGAAACAAAATTTGGATACACATATATCACTGTGGTACGACCTTTTTAATTCTTCTGGGAAGACACTCAGAAGAAGAGTAGCTGGATCAAATGGGACCTCTAGTCTTAGTTTTATGAGGAATCTCCTCACAGATTTCCACAGTGGTTACAGAAGTCTACACTCCCACCAACAGTGGAGAAGGGTTCCTTTTCCCCACAGCCCCTCTGGCATTTGTTATTGGCTGATTTCTTGATGATGCCATTTTATCTGGGGAGAGATGGGGCGCTGTTTTAATTTGCATCTCTTGAATGACCAATGATGTTGAACATTTTTCATATATTTATTTGCTATGGAATATTTCTTCATCTGAGAAATGTGTATTCATCTCAGATGTCCTTTTTGGATTGGGTCTTTGAATTTGTGGGGTCTAATTTTTTTCAATTCTTTATATTTTTTAGGTATATGTCTTTCGTCTGAGGGACAGCTGACTATAGATTTACCCACTCTGTGGATTGTATTTTCACTCTGTTGGTGATTCCTTTTGCTGTGCAAAGACTTTTAATAAGATTAGATCCCATTTGTTTATTCCCATTTTAGATCCCATTTGTACTGTTTCCCAAACAGTCTGGGTTTTGTTTTTGAGATGTCTGCCAACATGTATGTCTTCGAGATTTCTACCTATTTTCTCTTCCAGTAGACTTAGTGTTTCTGTTTTAATATTTAGATCTTTGATCCATTTTGACATTAGTGCATGGTGGTAGACAAAGGTCTAGTTTCTTTTTTTCTTTTTTTGAAATACTGGGGATCTAGCCCAGGGCTTTCATACTGAGCTAACTTCCAAGCCCTTTCCTTATTTTTATTTCAAACAGGGTTTCACTAAGTTGTTCAGCTGGGTTCAAACTTGTGATCCACCTGCTTGAGTCTCCCAGAGTCCTGGGACTATAGACGTGCCTCATTGTGCCCTGTTCATAATCTTATTTTTATAATTAGTATCTAATCTATTCTGGTGCAGTGTATATCCAAGACTAAGAGCATTAATCCTGAAGGGTAGGCTTTATATATATCTGCAATATTTGTCTTTTTCATTATAAGCATGCATTATACTTGTAATCAGAAAAATAAAAGCTCAGAAATATAGTTCAGAAAATGCAAGATGTAAAACAATTTCTAAGGAATAAGAACCATCTAAGGGCTGCTAATATAGGTATCAAAATCTGGTTTTATAGCCAAGTATGGTGCCATGTGCCTGTAATCCCAGCACTTATAAGACTGAGTAGGAGGATTTCCACAAATTTGAGGCCAATCTAGGCTAATAGTGAGTTCGAGATTAGCCTGGACCACATAGTGAGACTGCCTCAAAAAGCTGGAAAAAAAGAAAAAAGAAAAAGTAAAACCCTAGTTTTCTTTTTTGGTCTTTTCAAGGCAGAATTTCACTATGTGGTTCAGGCTGCCCCTGAACTCACTTTGTGGGCCAGGCTGGCCTCAAACTCACTGTGCTCCTTCTGCCTCAGCCTCCAGAGTGCTGGGATTCCAGGCATACACCACCAAACCCAGCTAAAGCCTTGGTTTTATGAAGATTTACTTAAGTGAAAAGTTAAAGGATAGGCACCACAGCTGCCCGCCGAAGGAGGGAGCTGGGCTGAGCCGCTGGAACCTGCCCTGGCCTTGCCTGTGACCTTTTTTTGACCTGGAGAGCACCAGCACTACTGCCACTGCCTGGAGGAGGGAGCAGCCCTGCTGAGGAGGTTTGAGGCCTACCTAGGCCATAGGGGGACCCTCTATCAGCCTGGGGAGCTTTGCCATCCAAGGAGCTGGATGACTACACAACATCCAATCCCTGGGAGAGTATGAGATCCTTGCTTTAGGGGGTTGGGGGTCTGCTGGGCTTGCAGCCACACTATATTGGGTTTAGCAGGATTTGGGATTGCCTCGACCACACCAGGTGGCCTCTTTCCCTCAAGGGAGCTTTGTTACCAGAGGGGGAAACTGTGCAGCTTGAGGAGACTTTAGGTCTACCAGAGAGGAGCCTGGCAACCCTCTTTTAATCCAGGGGCTCCACTGCCCAAGGAGGGAGCTACACTACCAGAGGAGTCCCAGGACCCCAGGACGTAAGAGACAATTTCCCACATGCCCAGGGGAAACTCTGGAACAACACTTGAAACACAGAAATATAGGAAAATTACAAAACAAAAGACCAAAATGCAATCTCAAACATCTAGCCCATCCCAAGAAAGCCTAGGAGCCTTCTACATAGAAGAAAATACATGCCACATACCTGAAATACCTGAAACAATAGTTACCAAAATAAAGAAGCAACTCCAGGAAGCTTTAAAAGAATTCAAACTAGAAATAATCTCTCGGGTAAAAGAAGAAATGATAAAAGAAATGAAGGAGATGCTGAACAATATCTAAAGAAGACAGTTTAAAAATTGGAGGAATTAAAAGACAAAAAAAAAAAAAGAAATATACCATTTGGGCTGGGGGTTTAGCTCAGCGGCATAAGCGCCTGCCTTGCAAGCAGGCAGTCGTGAGTTTGATCCCAATACTGATAAAAAGGAAAAAGACAAAAAAAATTGGAGGAACTAAACAAAAATATAGAATCCCTGGATGAACAATATAAGAAAAAAAACAGAATATATAAAACAGATGCAAAGAGATATACAGGAAATCAAAAATTCCATTGAAAGTTGTAAAAACTGCCTCAATGAATGTGAAGATAGAATTTCAGACCTTGAAGACAAGATTGCAGCCAGTGAACAGGAAAGGAAAGATCTTTTAAAAATAACAAGAAATCATGAAATAACAATTCAATACCTGCAAGATGATGCAAAGAAAAACATCATAAGGTTGATAGGGATAAATGAAAAAGAAGGAGACAACATAAAGGTGGTCAAAAGGATATTTAGAGAAGTAATAGCTGAAAATTTCCCAAACATGAAATTGGAAACTGATATCAGGATCAATGAAGCATATAGAACTCCAAATAGCCATAACCAAAATAAAACTACACCCAGACATATAATAATCACCATCCCAGAAATCAAATAAAGAATAGAATATTAAAAGCTGTCAGAGAGAAAAGACAGATCACCTACAAAGGAAAACCTATCAGAATCACAGCAGACTGTAGAGAGCGGTGTGACAACCCCATTGCTGCCTCCCCGCCCCTCTCTCCTATGGGCACATAATGCATCTGCCTACATTAACCATAATCCTCTCCTGCTTACGTCACATACCCGGACGTGACGATGACCCATCCGAAACCACCCTATAGCCTCTTCCTGTCCCACCAGTCTGCCCTTGGCCCATAAAAGCTGCAGCCACTTCCTGAATAAATGAGACTTGATTGGACCCATCATCTTGTCTCCATCTCTGTCTCCCACCCTGTTTTATCTCATCCCCGTCCCCCCTCCAGGTACACCCCACGAATTGATCCAAGGGCCGGATCAAGTGGCGCCCAGTGTGGGGCTCCTGGCATGGGGGAGTTAACGAGGGAGCCATTCGAGAATGCCGGCTGAAAATGAAAGTAAACTGAATCACGGCTGAGGCCTGTGCAGACGACCACCCAAAGTGCCACCCGAGTCATGGTGAGTAAAAGGCAACCCCATCCCCTTTCCCGGACATGGGTCAAGCATTGAGCGAACATGAATTGTTTGTGGGAGGCCTTAGCAAGGCATTAAAGAGGGGTAAGGGTTACAACAAAAGAATTGTTGCAGTATTTTCAGTTTATCCATAAAGTTTGCCCTTGGTTCCCCCTAGAGGGCTCTATAGATACCAAGAGGTGGAAAAGAGTAGGAGATGCTCTAAAAGATTTTTATAGGGTTTTTGGTCCTGTAAAGGTTCCAGTGACCACCTTTGCATACTGGAATTTAATCTCTGAGCTGCTTACTCAGCGGCATGCAGATCCTCAGATTAAAGAGACTGTCGTACAAGGTGAGGCTGCCCTGCGCGACTCCGCTAATTCTACCCCAAATCTGTCCTCAGAAAAATCTGCAGCCTCTGATCTCTCAGACGCAGAGGCTGATGGCCTGTTAGAGGTCCTCCAAGATGGCGATCTGCCACCACTTCTTCCTGTCGACATGATTGACAGGTTCTGAGATGGCGGCCCCCCCCATGCCTCCACTTATATGAATCCATTGGAGATTCATATAAGTGTTTATACCCCGACCTCTCTGATTTTCAAGAGGTCGACTGGGAACACCTGGCACAACAAGCCTCTACATACCACCCTGACCCTGTTGTGGCACCGGCTGCCATTAAGCCCCTGACTATGATGATGCATTTAGTGTCTGCCCTCAACCTTCTAGCATGCTAGCGGAATTAGAACAAAGAAAAAGGGATCTTTTAAAACAGATACAGCTAGAAAAAGAATGCTAAAATCTTTCAACTCAATTACTACACAGGTTTATAGAGCCAAATAGAGTGCAGTATAAGCTAGCAGTTCTCGTGGCCAGGCCCTCCCCTACAGGGGGATCAACTCAAAATTGGGAATGCAAAACTAAACCCCAAATTATATCCAAACTAAATAACCGACCGGGGCCTTGCCCACAGGAGTGTAACTTAT